GCTAATCTGTACTACATTTCCGCCAAAATATTTTTTTGTAATTTAGGACAGATTTCAGGCATTTGGTCTAGGCTTTCTGCGATATGTCACGCATTGATTTTTGCCTCTCTACCAGCAGCCCTGGGATCAATGATTTTCCATTTTCAGAACGCACCAGGCCCTTCAATGCAGCAGCAGGTTCGCCTCATGCAATTGCTTCCTTTCGCCGGTGTAACGCTGCTCTGTTCCATGTCGCTAGAGTACGTTTTCAGCGGCAATCGGTTCCGTACCTTGACGATAGAGAACATTGTCAGTGCTGTCGATATATTTGACATCCTCGAGTGCCTCAATGTGCCTTTTACCCAAATAGACGGCATAATATGGGCTCCCAAATATAGATGGGCCACCAGTTTGCTTCACCTTGCTGTTAGTAATATGTGGCGCGATGAGGGCATCGTGGAACGCCCGGGGATGCCTGCACAAATGAACAGAAGCCCGCATAGCTCTGCCGTTAGTGTCAACAACCGAATGTATGCATTCATTTGGTCGGCCCTTCTCCAAGATGCATACTTTCTGCCTGTCCGAATCAACTTGCTCCTCATAGGTCTTCCGTATAATCCTCGAATCCTGTTTTTGGCTATGAAAAACATACTGTTCCTTATGATCGCTGCACAAAGATACTGCGTTCTCGTATGCGGAAATCTTTAGAACACATCTGCCAAATATCTTCATTCACCAAAATTGTCGCTTCCATGGCATCATTTAATATCTACGATCACCGAGATAAACGGTGACGTTCTCTATCCGATTCCTTTTACTTTTCCTCAATATTCCAACTTGTCTGTGTTGTCATTCCCATGACAAGTCTCTTGATGGCGCTGTCCTTAGTTTACATGCTGACAATAAACGGGCGCCTTTACATCTTTGAATCAATCATTTGCCTTCTGGTAACTATTCTGCATTCTTCGTGCGCCAGCCCCACTGACAATGCCCGCCAATTTTGCTAAAATCGTAGCATCTTATTGAGCTGAAAGGAGGAAACTGAAATTGTCCTATTTTCGCGTTAATAGGCCAAGGGTCATTATTTCGATATTTCTTCCAATCTGTAAAAATAGCGTTCTATCCTTGGGTGCCGTATTACCCGGAGCTGGGTGTGGAAGGCTGATGACGGATACTGAAGTAGGAGTGGTAATTCCAGTTGCCCTGATGTGATAGACATTGAAGAGCTGATAGTAGGACTCAAGAACGCTGCACAAGTTACGCCGAAAATCGTGAGTGCCGTAAGCGACGTATGAGTGCCTATTTATATGATATGTGCTTAAGACATATACTAGGGGTCTACCGATACAAATAAGAGAGACTGGTACTGCCATTTCTGACACATTAACAGTAATCAGGCAGTCATACCCAATTTTAGGTATATATCACCTCAGGTTCGAACTTGCGTTTTTTTCGCAAATTTTTAAGGTGATTTCAGACAATAAGGTAAATGGACAAGGAGGTTCTCACACTGATTTTTAATGCCGCAGACAAAGAAGTTGTTAGATGAAAGTGTGAGGGCTGCTAATCGTGTTCTGGCGACCACTCAGGTATAAATCACTGTGTCAAGAGGGAGGAAGGAATGCCGCATAGGTGGAATTGTGCATGCCCGCTATTATTAAGGTGAACTTCAGTTTGGGTACCGTGATTGGAGTCGCTCATAGCGCACAGATTACTTAACAGGGCTGCTGATGCGGCCAGCATTGGAATATCGGGCTTCGAGGACTTCCTTTACTAATCTTGGAAACCACTTCAGCAATATGCTAAGTGGACCAATGGTCATAATCGGGAGCGTACGCCAACGTAATGCCTAGACTTTCCCGGCACCGTGCAGCCAGTTTGTGTTCATAAATATGGGTCAGGTGTTGCGCGCAATATTAACATAAGCACGCTTTGTGCATAGGATATAGTCAATAGCGTAAATTGGATGGTCCTTGCGAAGGAGATCTATTGGCCGTGATAAAGCTACACACAAGTTGAACGCTGCGTTTTGAGAGAGTTAGATGCCAAGCGACTATGTTATCTGAGTTTAGCAATTCCTGCACGTCGAGCAACGAATATTGTTTTCCAATCTACCACAATCCCATCAGACCTCTGATTATGTGTTTGCGTGTGAAGTCGGAGGCCGTCTTTTGCAAATGTTCTCGGTTATCCAATAGATCGTAACAATTGACGTGGTTAGGACACTTATATTTTCAGTTGATGCTCACTGATACCATGCCGAAAGGTGCAGATATTCTACATGTTACCCTAAATGAAGATTATTACTAAACTAGCGCGGAAGCCCGGCTTCGCCTTGGGCTTCCTTACATGTTGTTGTCCCTTTCTGTAAGCAAACCGTGTATGAGAATGAGAAGATAATGAAGAATAAGGTGAGTCGGTCGGAATTTCTGAGGTCGTTTTGACTCAATTAATAGTATGTGTATGCTCAGGAGTAATTGCAGGGAAAGTAGCGACCGAAAATCGAATGAACGGTGTGTCTCATAAATCCTTTGCAGTATATCGTCTCTCCTCCTCAAGACAATATCCCTGTTGCTATGCTGCGTATCTGACATGATGACGGCCACCTCGTTGAATGTGGAAGCATTAAATCTCCGTTGCTGTTCTTCGTGAGGGCGTTTATCTGCATCTATGACAACGGCGAAACCAAGGGAAGCATGCATCTCCAGGGCGGACT